GTCTCTGCACATTCCCAGGTCACCTGGCACTCAGAGGCACAAGCTCCCTTCAGCCCCCCGGCACCAACTGTATTTCAGCTCTTGGAGCTGGCATCAGAGCCCGCAGGTTAGGGACCCAGTCCCATGAGACCGCCCCCCACTCCAGACACCTGCCACAAGTCTCTGGCCACCCATACTTGTGAGCAACTGGCTATACATCAGGGGTTCCCATGGCTCCCTCCGAGGTTTGCTAGAATGGCTCACAGCGCTCAGGAAGACACTTCCAACAGCCAGATGGAAGTAGACGCTGAAGGCAGGGTGTGGAGAACGGCACTGGGCGCCCATGCCCTTCTCCAGGTGTGCCCCCCTCCCACACTTCTTGTGTTCGCCCAACCCGTACGGTTTTGGGGTTTTTACGGAGTTTCCATTATGTAGGTATGATGAAATCACCAGCCTTTGGCGACTGAACTCCATCTCCAGCCAGAAACCAGGGACAAAACCCAAATATTTGTTACACAATATTCCCTGTCCCCAGCCTTGAGGGTCTGGGTCTGCCCTGGTCCCCAAACTGCTGCTCTCCCCCTCCCACCTGGCCACCTTTTCATCTGCCCCTGAACCCACTCCCCCAGGTTTTTGCCTGGGCAGTCCTTCATATCTCTTGATAAGAGATGTCTTTGCATCTCAAGACGCCTTCCAGCAGCCACCTCCTCTAGGCAACCTGCCCTGCCAGACCCTACTTCTGAGTTGTCTCTGGCTAGGGGTGCCCCAGTCTACTTCCGGCTCCGCCACACTGGAGTCCCTTGAGGGCAAAGCCTGGAACCGGAGTCTTGGAGCCCCCAACCCCCAAGGCCAGGCCCTGACCATGTTTCCTGTGAGCGTTCCCAACTATCCACCTTTTGGGTCAGCTCCAGTGGTGGAAACTTTCCAGCCGGAGGAGGCCGCTTGTTTTGGAAAGTTCCTGGGGGAGCCGCCCCCGCCCGCCCGCCCTCCGGGTTCCCACGCTCCCTTATCACTGGGTGCTAGGGGGGCGCAGTGCTGTGCCTGCCTAGCTCCTCCCCAGCTGACCTCCTTGGTCCTGCCCCTTCCCTTCCCCTCCTCTCCTCACCGAACACTGGCCCCCCTCCAGCCTGGCCCTGCCAAGCCCTACCACTACAGGTAGGGAAACCGAGGCCTCGCAGCGCCCCTTACACACACCGTGTGAGCCCTGCCCGGAGTGCGTGGTGGGTAGTCCTGCTCAGGAAGGGGAAGGCGGAGGCGGCCCAGGCTGGAGGAGTGCCTGGCTGTGAAGTCAGAGCCCTGGCTCAGTCTTTGACCCTCGTTTCCACTGCAGTTATCTCGGACCCAGGTGCCCAGCCCTCCTGCCCAGCTCCACCTCCTGCCTGGTGGCTGGGCCTGGCGCTCTCTTGCAGCCTTAATGTCCTCTTTCGTAAAATGAGGGGAAGTGGCCGCGCGCCCTAACCGGCTGTGGTGCGAAGCGAATCCACGCGCCCGGTGCGCGGGCCGGGGTCTGCAGCCCACGTGGACGTCCGGCCGCGCCCGGTGGGGGGCGGGGAGCCCAAGGGCAGTGATGGCTCGGGCCTATGGGGCCTTGAACCCGAGTCCTCCGAGTCCTCCGAGTCCTCCGAGTCCTAGGCCGGCGCGCCCCTCCTCCCCGCGCGCCCCTCCTCCCTGGCGCGGGTGGGGTGAGGGGCGGGGCGGGGGCGGGGCCGCGGCTCTTTTCTCTGGAGTTCGCGCGCCCCGAGCCCTCGCCGTCCGCCACTGTCCGAGTTGACTCAGCGCCGGTGAGTGCGGCCCCGGGGCGTGGTGCGGGCTCCCTGAGGACCGCGGTCGGCTCGGGTCGCCGGCTCTCCTGTCCCCGCTGACCTGCCCACCCTGCGCCCCTAGCTCTCCGCGATGGAGGCCACAGCCGATTTCGTGGTCGAGAGCCCCGACGTGGTCTACGGCCCCGACGCCATCGAGGCTCAGTACGAGTACCGGACAACGTGCGTCAGCCGCGAGGGCAGTGTCCTCAAGGTAGGCAAGGGACCCGGGGTGGGGGGGTGGTGGGAATGGGGGAACCAGGGAGCCGGGAGGAGACGGGAATTACCCAACGTCGAAGACTGTGAGGGAGGAAGGGCCTGTGGCCTCAGGCTCACTGCACCGCCCGCCCCCAGGTATACCCCATGTCCACGCGCTTCACCTTTCGGACCGCCCGGCAGGTGCCCCGGCTTGGGGTCATGCTCGTCGGCTGGGGCGGGAACAACGGCTCCACGCTCACCGCTGCCGTGCTGGCCAACCGACTGCGCCTGTCCTGGCCCACGCGCACCGGCCGCAAGGTGGGGGGTCGGGTGGGGCTCGGCCCGAGTCCCTGCAGGAGGGGGAAGGGCCTTTAGGGGGCGGAGCTCTACGAAGGAGGAGACCCTCCGGGGACGGAGCCTAAGGTGCCGGCGGGCTGCCGGGGGTGGGGGGGGGAACCTCCAAAGGCCGAGCGACTTCTGCCCTGGCTAGGAGCACAGAGCTGAGGCATCCAGAAGGAAGGCGGAGCTTGAGGGTGCCGGGCGGGGCCCGGGCCGGCTAGTGGCTCACGCCACGCCCCACCTCACTCCGCCCCGCCTGCCGCCCCCCCAGGAGGCCAACTACTACGGCTCGCTGACGCAGGCGGGCACCGTTAGCCTGGGCTTGGACGCCGACGGCCAGGAGGTGTTCGTGCCCTTCAGCGCCCTGCTGCCCATGGTGGCACCCGATGACCTCGTGTTCGACGGTGGGCGGGGCCCTAGGCTGGGGGCTGCGGTGGGAGGCGGGGCCTGGAGGGGCCCACGTTCTGGGTTGGGCTGAGCTTGGGGGTGTGTCGTCCCTCCCCCGCCCGTCCCCCCCCCCCCCCCCGCCGCCCCAGGCTGGGACATATCGTCGCTGAACCTGGCTGAGGCGATGCGGCGCGCGCAGGTACTGGATTGGGAGCTGCAGGAGCAACTGTGGCCGCACTTGGAGGCCCTGCGCCCGCGGCCCTCTGTCTACATCCCCGAGTTCATCGCAGCTAACCAGAGTGCGCGCGCTGACAACCTCATACTGGGCACGCGCGCACAGCAGGTGCGGCCCCGCCCCAAACCCTGTATCCTTTGCCACTTGTTGCTCTTGCCTTTTGCCCCGAGTTATCACCCACCACCCCTCCCATCCCACCCCTGCACCCTCCCGCGTTATTGGCTTTTTGTCTCCTCGTTCCCATCCTGAGGTTCCAGACCTCACTTTGCACTTGGGGAAGAGTAGCCCAGACTTCCCCAGATCGAGGGGCCTGTACAACTTCCTTCCCTTCCCGCCCAGCTGGAGCAGATCCGCAGGGACATCCGCGACTTCCGGTCCAGTGCTGGGCTAGACAAAGTCATCGTGCTGTGGACAGCGAACACGGAGCGCTTCTGCGAAGTGGTCCCAGGCCTCAATGACACCGCCGAGAACCTGCTGCGGACCATCCAGGTGGGTGCATCCAGGGTTGGGAAGAGGGGTCAGGACCAGCCCCAGAGGACCCCTCCGTGCTGATCGCCCGCCTACGTCCACAGCTGGGCCTGGAGGTGTCGCCCTCCACTCTCTTTGCCGTGGCTAGCATCTTGGAGGGCTGCGCCTTTCTCAATGGGTCCCCGCAGAACACGCTGGTGCCTGGGGCGCTCGAGCTCGCCCGCCAGCGACGTGTCTTCGTGGGTGGAGACGACTTCAAGTCAGGCCAGACCAAGGTCAAGTCCGTGCTCGTGGACTTCCTTATTGGCTCTGGCCTCAAGGTGCGTGGGCCTGGGGGGTGCACAATTCAGGAGGGGGCGGGGGGGGCCTGGACCCCAAGCCCGTGCTGCGGGGCTTGTGCGCCGTGGGGCCTGCAGCTGCCGCGGGACCGCTTGTTCCCGTAGACCATGTCCATCGTGAGCTACAACCACCTGGGCAACAACGACGGGCAGAACCTATCGGCGCCGCCCCAGTTCCGCTCCAAGGAGGTGTCCAAGAGCAGCGTGGTGGACGACATGGTGCAGAGCAACCCCGTGCTCTACGCGCCCGGCCAGGAGCCCGACCACTGCGTGCGTGGGCCACAGGCCGCTCTGGGGGTGGGGGGTGGGGGTGGGGGGAAGCCCCTGGTGGAGGAGGGCGGGGACCCCTGTGACCTCGTGCCGGGCCCCCCCCCCAGGTGGTCATCAAGTACGTGCCGTATGTGGGCGACAGCAAGCGGGCGCTGGACGAGTACACCTCGGAGCTGATGCTGGGCGGCACCAACACGCTGGTGCTGCACAACACGTGCGAGGTGCGGGGCCCGCCGGGGCAGGAGTGGGGCTGCCCGCCGGCCCTGCCCCGCCTTCTGACCCGCCGGCCCTGCAGGACTCCCTCTTGGCCGCGCCCATCATGCTCGACCTGGTGCTGCTGACCGAGCTGTGCCAGCGCGTGAGCTTCTGCACGGACGCCGACCCCGAGCCGCAGGGCTTCCACTCGGTGCTGTCGCTGCTCAGCTTCCTCTTCAAGGCGCCGCTGGTGCCGCCCGGAAGCCCGGTGGTCAATGCGCTCTTCCGCCAGCGCAGCTGCATCGAGAATATCCTCAGGTGGGCCCCGGCTTTGGAGTCCCCATCCGAGGCCCGAAAGTCCACTGGCGGCCTCGGCACCGGGATTGTTGGGGATCGGAGGCTGTGGGGTTCGCCAGCCGCATGGTCTGGCCCCGCTCAGCCCCAGCCTTTCCCCCAGGGCCTGTGTGGGACTCCCGCCACAGAACCACATGCTTCTGGAACACAAGATGGAGCGCCCCGGCCTCAAGCGAGGGGCGCCTGTGGTCGCCAGCTGCCCTCTGCCCTGCAAGAAAGGACCAGCGCCAACTGCCCCCAACGGCTGTACGGGGGATGCCAATGGGCACTCGCAGGCTGAGGCACCCCAGATGCCCACCACTTAAGGCCGTGGCCATCCATCTCCCCCAAAACTCTCGTCCCCACTGCCCCTCAGAACCCAACCCTTCCAAGACCCCTGAAGACAATAAAGCCAGTGCCACTCTCAGCCACAGCATCAACTGTGGGTTCTCGGCGCCTGCAACCTAACCCTAACCATCCCCCAACTCCAGGCCCATCTCCATTTTTCACGCGGTAGACTCTTACCCACCCTTCAGAAACTGATGCCCCAACTCTTGACACTTCTAGAACCCTGAGGCCTCTGCCTAACCTCATGATTGGGAGGCCGTGGCCACAAGCCACAGCGAAGAAATCTGAGACCACATACCAAAAACCAAAACCGTTACATTTATTGATGGGGCCCACCCCTGCTGTCCAGGGAAAAGGAGGTCTCCAAGGAGCCCCCTGGGACAAAATAGAAATGACGGGAAGGGCCTATACAGGAAAGAACGTCTCTGAGGTCCTTGTGTGTTTTTTGTTTTTGTTTTTTTATAAAATGAGAGTCCTTTGTGCGGGGCCTCCCAGCTGTCCAATCCTTGAACTGGATGGAGTACAGTCGCCCGAGGTGTGACCTCAGACCCTCACCCAGCAGACTGCCCGAGCCCCTGGACCTTGGTCCCAGGCAGGGGCACTGGGCAGAAGCCGAGGCCGGCAGTGGGCAAGGGGCTGCTGCCCCATCACACGCTCATGGTCATCCCGGGCGAGTACTGCGGAGAGACGAGGGGGTGGCGCGCGGAGGCGGGCTCAGCTCCGGCCTCCGCTGGGACCCGCCCCCCCCCCGGGGGGGAGAATGGGGGACGGGGCGAAGGGAGGGGAGGAGACAGGTGGCGATGCGTGGGGGGACCGCCCTGGGGTGCGGGTCCCAGGGTGGGGGTTGGGACGGGGAAGGGGGGCCGGTGAGATTAGGGCGGGAGGGGGGAGAGGGGAGGGGAAGGATGCCGCGGCCGCCCCCCCACCTGGCCCGCCGCGGTCACGGTCTTGCTCTGGCCCCCCGGCCGCCCCGCCGGGGCCTGCCCGCCAGGCCCCTCCGGCCCGACGCCGCCGCGGGGGGGGAGTCGACGCAGTCGCTTACGCTTTCGCTCGGGAACGGGTGTAGGAAGGTCCCGGCGGCCGCCATCTCGCCGTCGTCCCGCGGGGTGCCCGGGGCGTTGCTCAGGCCGGCCACGGCGCCGGGGGAGCTCTGGGGGCGGCCGTGGTCAGCGCAGGACTCCCCGCCCCGCGGGCCAGGCCCTGCCCACCGCTCCGCCCAACCCCAACTAGGCCCGCACAGCTCTGGCCAAGCCCGCATCCCCGCACCCAGGGAGCCCCAGGCCCCGCCCCACGCAGGAGCGCGGCCCCTCACCTTCGGCAACCCGTCCATATCGCCCGAGCCTGTGGACCGACAGACGGCGGACCGCGGCTCAGATGCGCCTGCGCCAGGCCCGGAACCAATCCCCCGCCCCCACCCCGGCCCACGGTCAACTAACCCCTCCCTGAACTTGTACGGGGGCCCTGCCTCGGTTCCCGGGGCCCAGTCCGCTGGGGCGCCGCTGGGGGTCCTGGATGGAGGGTCCGGAACGGGGTCAGTGATGGCACTTTTGGCTCAGTTACTGCAATCTTCCCCCCCCGCCCCCCGCCTCCCCTGCCAAAGAGAGGCCTGTGGACATTCAGGGTGCAACCGGGACGCCCGCGGAGAAACCAGGGAGCGGGGCGGGAGCAACCGCCAGGGGGCGCAAAAGGCTCGCGAAGCAGCGGGGTTGGGGCGTGGGGTGTGTGTCTCCGGACGCCCACTCACCCAGGGATCCGTTCACGTGGTGAGGCTCCATTGCACTCATGGCCGCCATGGGGCCCTCCGGACCAGGGCCGAGCGGGAACTGCGGACGGTGGGGGGGCAGCGTGGGACTCTGGCCACCAGACCCCCAGCGGGGCCACCGCCTTCCACAGCCCCCACCCTGGAACCCCCCACTCACATTAGCCCTGCCGGCGCCCGGCCCAATGGGGTTCATGATAGTGTACATGCTCTCGCTGGAGTTGGTGGAGTCTGGGGGAGATACCGGTGCGTGAGGAGGTGGGGTGTGAGGATCTCTCCAGGCAAGCACACCCCTCCCTGTACCCTGCCCAGGCTGCAGCACCTCCAGGGCTGGGCATGATGGGTGTTCCAGGGGGCCCTCCTCCTCCTGGGGGTCCCTGCACAAGGAAGGAGACAGAGCAGGTGAGAACGAACCCCTCCCCTCCCCCCGCCCCCCGGTCTGCCAACCATCACCCTTGCCCCCCTGGCTCAAGTGGCCCAGCCTCCTCGTCACTCACCGAGTAGCTGCCGGGGGAGGAGGAGGAATAGGGAATCTGGGGAGAAGGGCAGCTGTGAGCAGTCCACTCTACCCCCACACCAATAGCCCACCTCCAGCCTCCCCTGGCCGGCCAGCCCGCCTCTCACCGAGTTTCCACTGGGGCTGGCCCACGGGCCTCGCACTCCAGGGCCCCTAGAAGAGACAGTGGGTGGACCCCGGGGTAAGGCCAGGTGGCACACAGCCCCGACACACTCTGTGACATCCCCCACCCTGCCCATGTGCCCCCAAACAGGCCCGCAGAGCCACAGACTTTGGCTGAGAGTTGGTAACCAGGGATGGATTCTAGTCAGCCCTCAAATCCCATATCCTATGGGATACGGCCTTTGGGCCTCAGTTTCCCCACCCAATGCAGAGTAAACAACCAGAGCTGTTGTGCGGACTTAAGTCTGCCCCAGCAGAGCCAGGCCATGAAGCTGGGTGGTGGCCTACGTGGGCACACCCCAGGGGTCTCTCAGGGCCTTACATGTTCATGGTAGGCAGGCCTGGGCCGGCGAGGGAGTTGGGTGGGGGCCGCATGCCACCTCCATAGCTCTGGGAAGGCAAAAGGGCTGTGAGTGCAGGCCAAGGTGTCGGGGGAAGCCCCCTGGAAGCGCACCCCCTCTCCTGGCCCAGCCCTCACCTGGGGTCCAACGCTGGCCATGCCCCGTGGAGGTGTCACTCTCTGCATGGGGCCCATGCTCGGATGCCCTGGGGGGGGCAGAAAGAAGGGGGTTCAGGCCAATAACACTCCCCAGTGTGGACATGTGCTGGAGAGGGGTGGGTCTGCACCAGGAGGCAGCAGGGAGGAGGAACTTGGAGCTGGGGTCCTAATGCGTGGGGGGGGGTGGCAGCAGCTGGAGCTTCCCTACTCACCCTGAGCTCGTGGGGAGGGTTCCATGGTGCCAGGAAGGAGGGGCTGGGAGCCGGGGAGGCCCACAGGAGGCTGTGGAGGAGGTGTGGCAGCGCTGAGCGTGGGTACCCCCACCCTGGCCCAACTCCTGCCCCCCCCCTCCCCTCATCCCTCTCTCACCTGACTCGGCATCCGCAGGGTGGGCCGGGGGCCCCCTGGGAACCGCGGTGACATGAAGGGCTGGAAGAGGTGGGCCGGGGATCAGCACCTCCCACCACCTGCTCACCCCCCAAAGCTACCCCGTTCCTGCAGCGCCCGGGGCCCCCAGCCTGGACAGCCCCCTCCTCCAGGACCAGCCAGCAAACTGCAGCCAGCCAGTGCCCGGTGCGTGAGTGCAGTGGGGCTGGGGGCTTGAGTTGCTGGGGTGTGCGTGTGCAAAGGGGCGGGGCGTCACAGGTCCTTACCTGAACGTGAGGCCCCATCATGGGGGCGTTGGGGTTGTGGGGGGGCTGCTGGGAGCCGGGGGGGCCCTAGGAGGACAGAACCAGGTGGGTTGGGAGGAGCGAGGTCCACCGAAGCTTCACTGTTCTCTGTGGCCCTGCTGAGCCTGGCCAGGGAGGGTGAGGGGACGCCATGGAGGCGGGAGGGTGGGCCAGCCCTGCACTCCCCCGAGTGGAAGACGGGCTTTGGGGTGAGGGGCCCTACGGGAACAGTCATGGGCAAGACCCACGGCTCAGAGAGCCATGCTCTGAGGCCCTTAGCAACCAGGCCCACGCAGGCCACCCTCACAGAGACCCCGCCCTCTCCTGCACTGGGGCCCAGCCCATGTGGCCGCTCCCGTCACGCCACCAAGGCCTGTGTGCAAATACCCACCTCGCGGACAACCCCCTACCAACTATGGCCTGCTGGGGCCTCTCCCCATAGGACCCCCCCCACGCGCATCATGGCCCACGCTGTTCACTCTCCGACACATGCCCACTTGAGTTGGAGAACAAGGGGCACCGGCCCTGGCTGTACCTGGAAGAAGCCGGGTGCCATGGGGCCTGCTGCCATCGCGTCGTTGGGGGCCATGCTCCCCATCACAGGACTGGGGGCTGCTACAGTGCTCTGCAGGGGTGAGGAAGACCAGGAGAAGCTGCTCACGTCACTTCCTGCTTGAGTGTCCCTTCCTACCCACAAACAGCCCACTCCACAGAGCAAGGAAACTGGGCCATCAGATCTTCTACCCATGTGAGCACGTGAGGACACCTGGAGGGTTCTCTAGGTGAAGGAGGAGCGACTGCACCTGTCCCCACCCCGGTTTTAGCGGCCCTGACTCGGCGTCCTCCTCAAATGTGCCGTGTGGCCGTGGACCCAGGCTTTGCCTCTTCTGTACCTGAGACACTGGAGGTCATTGGGGCCCTGTCAGGTGCAGCACACAGCCCAGGCGGGAGGCCAGGGACCTGGGGATCCCACCTCCTAAGGAGTCAGTCCCAAGCATGAGGATTCTGGGGGGTCTGAAAATGCCAACAACCCAGGACCCCTGTGGGCACGTGCCTCTTGCATCTGGCACAGGCTTGCTCTTTCCATTGGAATCTCACGTCAGACTGGTGGGGGAATGGTCCCTGACTCTAGCCCCGGCCCAGCAGGCCCCATGTCCTCCTGGCTGGTAAAGCGGATTAGCTGGACTCTCAGCTCTACCCAAGACACCCCAAATAATCACAAAAATCAACTGGCAGCTTCCAGATGAACCTCCCTCCCAGAGGGCTGCTCTCTGGGGCTGCGGCGCAGAGAACTCCCCTCTTCCTCCAGTTGGGAAGGGAAGGAAGAGCAGGACTGCTGGGATGGGGGCTCCGGGCTCCAGGCCTCTCTTCAGTTGGAGGAGGGGAGGAGACCGGGTGCTAGACAGGAGGGTTCCCATGTCAGCCCAGGGTGGAGATACTGGTTGGCGGGGTGGCGGGCGGGGGGTACAGGCTGACAGGCCACTTCCTCTGGTAGGTTCCAAGTCCCAGGCTTGTCTGCCTTTGGGAACAGAGCAGGGAGGAGGAGGGAAATGGAGGCCTAGTCTACAGGGCAGAGGAGACACATCAAAGGATAGGGAAGGAGGGGGACTCTGCAAGGACTGAGTAAACACAGTAATTCTCTGGAGGCCCCTCCACTCTTGTCTGTCTGGATCATCTGACCCCACTCCACCCCCAACGGGATCCAAGAGGTATGGTCTGTGTGGGTCACGGCTATTCCTGGGACTAGCACGAGCCATCACACAGGGATGCCCAAGATTTTGCAAAACTGCAGCCACTTGGGCTCAGAGAAGTTAAGCATTGTGCCCGCAGTCACACAGCACTTCCTGCCCCACAGAAGTGGGGAGGGCCCCTTGGCTGGATCAGAGCAGGACCCCTGTAGACATACCCCTCCCCTTGGGTATTGCAAGCTGCCCCGCGCTTCCTGCCCCTTCTCAAAGATCAACCTCTGAAGGACTCCTGCCCAGGCCCCAAGATGGGGGAGGAGCTGTGGGGGGCAGGGGGTGGGGGGGACAGCCTTCCCTGGCCTATGGTGATGGAAAACACTCCCAGGGCCTGGCACCAATCTTTTGAGAGCCCAAAAGACCCTAGGAGTCTCCCCTGCCTCCACCTCACCCCCCCACCCCCCCTCCGCCCAGACACAGAGCCTGACAGCTGGAGCAGCTATTGTATTCTCGCAGGGGCCTGCCTCAGTGGCTGGAGGAAGTACTTCTGAGCCCTCGGTCTGTCCACTCCCCACAACCTACCCCATAGGGAGGGTGGGAGAGCAGTCCCCCCTTTCAAGCCACAGCAGGCGCCAGAGCATTTCCTGGTGGGGGGGGCAGCTGCTCTCTGGGCTGCCGACGAGGTGTGGGGGCAGGGAGAAGATAGGGCACCCCTCACCCACTGCGGCTCCCCAACTCTAGGCCCAGAAGGGTTAATACAGGGCGGGCCCACCCTCCCTGGCGGGTGGCCCGAGCTAGACCCCCCACGTCAATCATCCACCCGGAGACGCCAGGGCCCAACCCGCGTTGCTATGACGATGGGTTGGGCGCGCTAGCGTTTCCTGGAGACGCCGAGGTCGGCCGCGGAGCCGGGAGTGGTGAACTGAGCCCGCACTCGGAGGGGGCCCCGACCGCGCAGGGGCGGCGAGCACGGCGCTCCCCCCACGCTAGAACAGCAGCTGGGCAGGATGTGCGCCTGCAGCCACAGGGAACCCGTCACCCCGGGGCTAGGGCGCTCCCCCCCCACACACACCCCCTCTGTGCCCGCACCATCTCCCCCGACGCACTCCGCTGCCATGGTAACCGGCGCGCTCCCGGGAAGCGCGCTCCCGTGGAAGTGGAGAACCCTGCGTTCCGCCTTCCTGCCCTCCCCAGAGGGGCCCTGAGAGGCCGCTAGAGGCGGGGGCAGAGGCGAAGCCGGGGCGGGGGGGGGAGGTAAGGGGGCGCTGCGCAGGCTGGGAGGGGCTAGGGTTCGAATGGGAGTGAGCGCCCACGCAGAGTCTTGCACGCACACATCTCCAGACACCCCTGGAGCCCCAGTTCTGGCAGGAGAGCGACAGGGGGGATGGCACACGAACAGTGGAACCCGATGGGGACCAACAGTGTGACCCCGGCTCCCATGCACATCGGACAACGGGTGCGGAGCGTCTTCAGGGACACGATGAACCCGCACCCCTCGCGGGCTGCATCCCGGCTCTACAAAGGCCTGCACTTGCGGGGTGGGGGGGGCGCTTTACGTGGAGAGGCGGTGCACGACCTCGACCAACTGCAGAGCAAGATGGGGATGGCCACGCCCTGGGAGGCCCGAGGGGGCACAGCAGGGCGGACTGCTGAGGCTGTGAGGACGCCAGCTGTAGGAGAGTGGGTGCACGAGGGGGAGGGCGAGAGAAGGGGGAGCTCGCCTAGAGCTGCACGCCCCTGGACGCCAGCTGAGCTGCTGCTTCTCCTCGGAGTGGGCCCAGAGCCCCCAGCCCTTCCTGTCCAGCCAGAGACGTCTTGGGAGAAGCCAGGTGGCCAAGCCCCACAGCCAGGACCAAGAAGAGGATAAACGTAGGGGTGGCCATCTGCTCCCCATGACAATGAGATGTCACCAGCCCTTTCATGTTATCCCCCCTCCTCTCCAGATAGGCCTCTGACCCCCACTCAACCTGGAGGGAAACTGAGGCCAAAGAGGTGCGGTCAACAGCCCCAATCACCAAGCAAAGTCAGGAAGTGTGTTGCCCAAGGGTGCACCTGCCAGTTAGCCAACCCCACGGTCCCCTGGGCTCAGAAAGGCTGGGGTGGGAGGGGATATGCAGTGGTGGCCCCCAACCCCCCCAACACACACCCCACCCACCTGGGCAGATGGGGAGGCAGAGCTCCTGGCTCCCCAAGGGATTCAGATGAGGGGAAGGAGAGGTAGGGCTGGCTTCAGGAAGGTGTGTGGGGGGGGCGCTGTGGGGACTCTCAGGAGCTGGGTGCAATGGAAGGAGCCTCCCCCACCCTGTGAGTGACCCTAGACTGAGGAGAGGGCGCAGGGACTCCCATAAGTGGGCAAGACCCCAGATCAAACCCCAACACCAGACCCACCTGCCCACCCAAGCCAATCTCAGGCCACGCAGGCCCCCAAGGCCACAGGCCCCAAAACTGGCCCATGCCCAAGAGCCCTGGTCCCGGTCCCTGGGGCAGGGACTCACGTAGTCCTGGAAGGCCTTGGCCTCATTTGAGTGCTCACACGCCTCTCTGCGGTCGGGTGCTGCACAGTACAAGTCCCAGAACACGCTGTGGGCGGCAGGGGGGGACGATGGTTTCCCCATGCGTCCCCACCCAGCCCCCCTCCATGGCCCACCCTGGCCAGCCCCACACGCACCACCACCAGGAATGTAGGAAGCCTGGGGGCTCCCCCAGCGTAATATTCTTCTCCCATCGGATCTGCAGGGGAAAAACAAGACAGTGAGGGGGCCTGCTGCCCGGCCCTGCCCAACCTCTTCCAAACTGAGGCAGCCCCAGACCAGCCTGGGGCCTGGGAGACGTGGAAAGAGCAGCCCTGAGCAAGGGTGCGGGGCAGGGGACAACTGGGTAAGGGGCAGAGAAGCGTGCACAGACCCTCAGATGGCCAGACAGATGCCTTGATCCCAGCCCACGGGCCCTGACCCACCCCAGCCCTCAGTTCCCAGGGCCAGCGGAGGGGCAACGGAACCCCAGCACTGGAGCCCCAGTGGAAAGGGGGTGGAGTGGACCGCAGGGTACAGGCAGTAAGGAGGGACCCAGCTGGGGGCGCTCTGCCTGGCGAGGCCGGCTTACCTCGGACAGAAAGGTCTGGGCTGACTTCTGGGCGCCGACGTGCAGCAGGTACTCATACACATATAGCGCCAACCTGCAGGTGGGCGGGGTGCGGATGGGCTTAGGCTCTCCGGAGGCCTGCAACCAGCCCCACAACCCCTTCCCCAAGGGACCCTGGGAGTGGCCTCAGTGAGCCCTTCGTGACACCATCCTCAGCCTCACTCACTGCCCCCCAGTGGTTCCCCAACCTCTCCATCCCTCCCACCCTGATGTGATGGCTTCATCAGGTGCTCAGACCTGCCAACTCCTACACATCCATCAATACCCAGCCAGCAGGCCCTTCCTCTAGGCAGCACTCCCAGCAGTCCCTGACCCCTGACTTGCAAGCCATCCATTCTGCTCAGTTACACACCCCCTCGTGGACCAAGTCCTGGCCCCATCCTGCCAATGCTGAGACCCCAGAATAGCCTTCGTCCCAGGGAGGTCTTGTGGCCGGGAGAAAGGGCTCCTAGAGGTCACTCCAGACTCTGCCCTGGGTGGGGTCTCCCAGCGGGTACCCGAGGCCATGTGGTCAGGGCCCAACACCTAATTTCCTTCCAGCCTTGTCTTGTAGAGAAAGAAAGGGGCCCTCTAACCTGCGGTCTTCCTCCGCCAGGTGTCCCCGGACCCCGATTCTCTTTCTCAGGACCAGCGCCCAACCACCCGTGGTGGCCATGACCTAGCTACACCAGCCCCGCAGGGGAGAGTGTGGAGAAGCGAGGGCAGGTGAGGGGCAGCAGGGCCTGCCTTGTAGAAACACAGTGCCCAGCACCCTTGGACACACCAGTTTGGCTGCTGCCTGCCCCAAGAACACAAGCCACCTTCCAGCCAGTAGTGTCCTCCATAGGCCACACAGGGAGGCCGGCCCCTCTACACCATCTTCCGAACCTCCGCATCCTCGGCCCCAACACCCCCTCATCAGTCCTCCCCACCAGCAAGCAGAGAAACAACTTCCTGCCTCCTCGGTTCACCCATTTCCCAACCACCCACAGTTACTGCCCCCTCCCAGTGCTCCCAGGGACATAGGGTCCGACGGTCCAGGCCCCCGGGGGGGGGGTGGTGCTGGGAGGGTAGGGTCTAGATCCAAGATGGGGGGGCTCCCCCAGGGCTGGCCTGAGCTGGAAGCCCTTCCAGGACGCCTCCCCACTCAGCAGGCCACCCTTCCCTGGCTGAGGGCCCCACCCTGAAATAACCCTGCTTTGACTCATGTTCCTGTTCTCTCCCACCTTCCCAGCCAGGCTTCTTGATCCTCACATACCCGCCCCCCATCAGATCACCCCCCCTTCCTTAGCTCCCCTCACACCTCGCTGAGGCAGTTCTAGCCATTCTGTCCCCGGCCCCTGCTCCCTGCCCACCCCCCACAACGGCTTCTGCCCTTGCCCTGGATCCTCTTCCTTCCTCCAACCATTTTCATTCATTCAACACTCACCCAGCATCTCTTTGTGCAGTGAACACAACAGACACCTGACCCCCGGAGGCTACCTGCTGAGTTCTAGGGTGGGCTGGAAGGTACTGCGTGCTAGGGAAGGACAAGAGGCAGACATTTGAGGGACTGGGGTGGGCAGGTGTCCCAGGGCAAGGTGTGCCCCCAGCTCACATCACACCAGATGAGCTGTGGACAGCCACCGAGAGGGACAGGGCACAGAGGGGTATGGCTCGTGGTGGTCACAGTGCTCCGAGTGTGGGTTTTCCTCAAGATTGGCTGTGGACTCCACCACATCATCACACCCTTCTTAGCCTTCCTGGCCCCATAGCCTCCAGGTTTACCTGTCCAACTCACTCCTATGATTCTCTTCCTTTCTAAAGGCTTCCTGAGCCTTCAAGTGGTCTGCATCTGCCAGCCCCGCGTCCATTAGTGAAGGAACAACGGGCTGAAGCGGAGCCAACAAGCCCAGGCCTGCCCGCCCCCCTCCCGCACCCTCCGGGCAAGGAGAGAGGCTGAGAGAGGTCCAGCCAGTCCCTCACCCATTGGGGGGGGGGGTCACTGCAGAAAGCAGGAAAATCTGGGGCTGAGATGCCCAGAGAAAAGGGAGCAAGAAGGGATGGGGGGGGGGAATCCAGGTAGGCAGATGTAAGGATGGGGGCAGGGAGGCTGCAGTCTTGCCCTTGGGGCATTCTGGCTCAGGAAGCTTCCTGAAGAAATGACCCTTGGCTCCCACCACATCCACCAAGGTTGCTCGACACTGCCAGCCATCAGGTCCTCCTACACCTCCCCTTTGCCCTCAACTGTTCTTCAGGGGTGGCATCTGACCCAGGATGCAGGACCCCACCCCTGGCTGCTCCCCTCCTCCCTCCACTAGCCCTGCCCCAGCTCAGCCCTGGGCCCTCGCTTCTCTCTCTGGATGGCCTCCTCTCCTGCTCTGATGACATCTTCATGCAGCTGTCCATTGGGTGCGCCAGCCTGACCCCCCCAAACTTGGGATTCACATAACATCTAGTGGCCCATCCTCAACATGCTCCCTGCCCAGCTTCTTCCTCTCCCCACCTCTCCTGCCCGCCCCCCAATCTGACTTGGGTAGTCTGGCCTTGACTCACAAAGGTACACAGGTGCGTGAATATCCACCCAGCCATCCCCCCGAGATCACTGCACTTACTGAATTTTGGGAAAAAACTTGAGGAAAAAGCTCACTCTTCTGCTTTGGAGCCCTCTTCCTGCCTCCTCTACCACACTTGGTCCAGGCCACTACCACCTCTTACCTGGATTTCGACAGGGCTCCCCCAGGGGCTGCTCTCTCCCCAGCCACCAGAGTCTACACACACACCCAATAGCACGCCTCCTTCAGTCCCTCCAGTGCCCCAACACACGCACACTGGCCCTCCTCCACCCCAGGGCCTTTGCACGGGGTGTCCCCCCACTCAGGGCACTTCCACCTAGAGACCCATGTGGTTCAAATGTCACCTGTCACAGTCTTCCCTGTCACACCTAAACTCCACCCGCCCCATCCACTCCCCCCAACCACCTTATTTATCCCCTTCTGACACATGTCTCTCTGCCCACTGCCTGCAGCTCTTTCTGGAATATAGCTTTGGGAGGGCAGGGACTTGGTCTCTTTCCCTCACTACTGAAATTACAACGGCACCCAGGGCATCTTGGGCCCCTTGCTACCCCAAATGAATGAAAAAACAAACAAATAAACAAACCCACAGGGACTCCCTCCTGCGAGGACAGGTTTAACACAGACAGTCTGGTAAGCACCAGTAAAAGTTAGCTTAGCATTTCAACGTTAAGGACTTGGGGTTTTATCCCCAAAGCAAAGAGAAGCCAGAGAAGATTTAAATTTTGCTGATTTCTCTTACGTGTTCTTACTTTAATTTTTACCAGGATAGAATCTCAGGGAAGGATTGTGAGCTGTTTTGTTTTGTTTTGAGAGAAAAATTTTGAAGCCTGGACATTTAACCATGTTGTTTTGAGACCTTCAGGGCACCACCCCATGCAGGGCCTCCAGCTCGAGGTGTCCCTGTCCAGGCTCTGAGCTCAGATATGGGGAAGGGCCTGGGCTCTGGATCTAAATCCTGGCATCTCCACCCCTAACCATGTTGGCAAATGACCTGCAGAACAAAGAGCAGGCTCATGGGAGGGGCTTCTGCTGTAAGAGGGCAGGTGGATGGAAGGAACGAGTGACCTAGAGGATATGGGGTGCCCAGACCCCAAGTGCTCACAGGAAGAAATGCACACAGGGCTGCTCAGGTGACAGAACGGGATGTTAGAGTCTTGGAGACTACAATGTGGCACCACCACTGTAATTAGCAAGAATTATGGTAGGTAACAGAGGCTCTGAGCACTAGCACAGTGTCCTCCTCCCCCTTAAAGCCCCTGGACTTGCTGCTGGGGGCTGGGAGACTCTACTCAGGGCCTTGTATCACTTCCCAACAGAGGGACAGCCCACCCATTTCTTCCCCCAACCCCCCACCCCACCCTCAAGGCCAGGCCTTTGGGTGTCTCCTCAACATCTGCCTGGCAGCCTCCACGCATGCCCCTTACAGCCCTTCTCCCAGACAGTGGCCTGGGTGATGACCCCCACTCACAAGTTGCCCCTCTGTCTTCCTCCTCCTCCTGTTCGTTCCCTCTTCTCAAGCCCTTCCTCGGAAGCTCCCCTGTGTCCACTGGCTCTGCTTAGCCTCCAGGACTCAGTTCAGGGGTTCCTTTCTCAAGAATCTCTTGCCCATCTGCCCTCCAAACAAGGATGCCCACAGCCACACCTGGAAGCCCAGCAAGAGACAGAGCAAACACAAGGTGATTCCCTCACCTGCTGGGCTAAGGAACAAACTACACGTGGTCATGTGCCCCTTCTCAAAACCAATCCGAGAAAAAACACAAGACACCAACCATGGTTGTCATTTATGGAACTATTTAAACCTACCTGGCAGCACTTCACATTAGCAGAACCTCTGGGGCCACAGGGGAAAGGATATAAAAGGGACAAAGGGGCCTTCGACTACCCATCACCTTTGTCCGCTTATTTAAAAAGCCCCCAAACCAAGGACCAAATGCAAGTGCTAGTTAGTGCTGGGTGGCAGGTGCCCTCCTGGGCTGGGAGTGTTTATTAATGGATCCACCATCCACGCACCCAGCAGGTACTCAGTTCATTTCTGGGGCAGGCTGTCCCAGAACTAGTGTTGAGATGAGGAGTGAGAAGGGGGCCCAGGATAGGGACCTGAGAAGGAAGAAGGGCAGGAGGAGGCAGGACTGCAAGCAGGGAGAAAAACACAGTACCCGAGAGCTGAGGACCTGAGCAGTGTAAATCCCCCACACTCCCAATTCACACGGGAGGAAACCGAGGCCCAGAGACAGGAAGTGGCTCGGCCGGTGGCTGCCTGTGTGGGGTGCTCTACCTGCAGCCTCTCACCCGGTCCTTGTGAGAATCCTACAAGGCCGGTTGTCCATGTTTCAGAAACCGATGCTCGGCGCAGGAGCAATGCTCGGAGCAACCAGCCGACCTCTCCAGTGTGCCCTCCCCGCTCCCGCCCCACTCCCGCTTTCTGAGCGCTCTCCCGCGCCCCAAACCCTGAGACCTCAGCAGATCGCTTCCTCTCCAGGGCCCCGGCACCCCCACGGATCAAATAGGGGATGTGACCATCTGGTGTTTTCCAAACTTTCTTTAGCAGCAGAACCCTACCTCCAAACCAAGGCTTAGATGGGACCCTCTATAAGAAATGGAAGAGCACAGGACAGGTCTGGCCATCAAGGGGACTGGAACACAGGCAGGACGGGGCCTTTAGCCTCCGCATGAGGCGTTTTTGCAGATCCCAGAGTCCTCCCACTGTGGGCCGTGTGGCCTCCCCAGGGGCCCCACTCAGCTGCCCCCGCCGGGCTGGGGCTAGCAGCCCTCAGGCCCTCTCCTCTCTCAAGCTCTTCCTACGTGCAGGGGTCCCCAACTGGTCAGTCTCGCCCGCCCCGGAAACCTCCCTGGACACTGCGATGCCCCTCGCGCACCCAAGTCTCGACCGTCGGGGAGGTCTCGCGACCCTCGAGTCCCGCTCGGGTCTCTCGCGCCCCCTCAATTCGTGCGCCCCCGAGTCTCGCGCGCCCCTGCAATGTCGCGACCCCTCGAGCCGCTCGGGTCCCCCCAGCCCTCGAGTTTCACGCGCCCCCTCAAATCTCGCGAACCTCGGGTCTCCCGCGCCCCTTCAACTCTCACGACCTCTCGGCTCTCGCGCACCGCCCCCCAACCTCACGACTCCTTGCGCCCCTCTCGCCCGCGGAGTCTCACGTTCCCCTCAAATCTCGCGAACTCTTAAGCTCCTCACACCCCTCAGATCTAGCGCACTCCCACACAGCTCGCGACCCCTCGAGCCCCGCCGGCCTCGCACGCCCCTCAAATCTCGCGCCCCTCGGGTCTCGCGCGCCCCCGCAAATCTCGCGACCCCTCCAGCGCGCTCCGGCCCCGCACGCCCTGCCCCCGCGCCCACGTGCCCCGCGCGGTGCCCGCCGGCATTGGGGCCCACGGAAGCTGCGCGGCGGCCGAGCCCCGCCCCCGGCTCCCCCGGCCCCGGCCCACCGACTCACTTCTCGCGGGCCTGGCTGTCGGAGGGCACGGCCGAGCCCTTGCCCCCCTTGGCGTACATGCTGCTCCGAGCCGCCGCCGCCGCCGCCGCCGCCGCTGCCGCCGCCGCCGGGGCCCACACCTGTCAGGCGGCACCGCGGGCCGCGCTAGCGGTCGCCATAGCTACCCCGCGCCCCGGGCCTCACCGCCCCGAGCCCCGCGCGGGCACCGCGGGCATCGTCCGCGCGGGGGAGCTCCAGACGGCCAAGGCGGCGGCAGCGGCAGCAGCGGCGGCAGCTCCAGCTTCAGCTCCAGCCACGGGTTTTATTTTCTTCCTCTCTTCCCTCAGCGCGGGCTGTTCCGGGAAGCGCGCGCCCCCTCCTCCCGCCGCGCGCGCCCCCGCCCGCCGCCTCCCTGCCGCCCGCGGGCGCCGCTCTTAAAGGGGCGATGGCGGGCGCGCGGATGGGTCCCGCTGTGGGGACCGTGGGCCCGGCGCGCACGCGCAGTGCCCGCCGCGGGGGGGCGGGCGCGGGTACACACACGCAGGCACGGATGGGGACGGCCACCTGGGGACACACAGCAGGATACAGTTAATCACGGCTACACACACACTCCCCAGATAGGACCAGCCACCCAAATTGTACACCCAGGAACACAGCCACACACAGTTGCAGCTACACTCTTGGACACAGGACTACACACATAGATCCACATAGCTACTGGAACAACTAGTGAGAGTTCCATAAAGCAACAGGCAGTCACACGGGGTGCACCACCCCGCGGAACTACCCCCACACAGCTTGAGAAGGAACCGCCACACAGCTCACCCAGGGACAAACTGTCATACACACAGAGGTATACACAGTGACTGTCAGAACAGCAAAACATATACAGATCACCACTCAGAGAGACACACAGACACACGGAGGCTCAGCTTATGCTACAGTTTCCCACAAGCTACGGAAAGAGTCCAGGCAGCTACTTGCGGTCACCCTGGGGCACACGGTCCTAGCCTACCCAGGGCTCCACACACAGACCTGTGTCCTTGTGTGGAGGACACAGGACACAGGGGTCTCACAGTGCCATAGATGAGTCAGTGTCACACAGTCACATGGCCTGTCGACACTCACCGCCACACACACATGCAACACAAAGACAAGCACACAGGGATAGCCGGGTCACACCCTGGCAGCCACCCTGCGCGGGTCCACAGTCACACCCTGTGTCAATAGTAGTCGCTGGGCGATTGTCCACTGGGTCATTCCTGCTGCCATTTCTCAACTGCTGTGTTGCCAGCGGTAAATGGGGCGCATCCCACCTTTAATCTCCCCTCTGTAGGAGTCAGGACTGCAGGCAGTGGGTACCCCATTCCTCCTCCTGGGGCCCTTCTCCCTCCAGGGTCTGTGAAATGGGGGGCAGACATTGAGGTAAGGGCCCCAAGGCAAGGGTGCCTGGGAGGGATGGACGCCTGTGCCCTGGACCTGCTTTGCAGGTGTGGGGAGGCAGTCCAGTTGTGATTCCAGGTCTGGATGTTTCTGTGAATATTTGCCATAGGTGTTCTTTCTTCCCGTGCACGACTGCGAGCGTGTGTGTGTGTGTGTGTGTGTGTGTGAGTGTCTTGATGGGAGTACCCCCTCCCACTGCGAGCTGACCCGTTATACCTCCCTCTTAGAGGCTACGCCCCCCCAGTGGGGATCCCCACCCCTCAGGCCTTCTGGCGGTCGGGAAGTCGGGAGCCGCTGGGGTTCCAGACAGGCGGAGAGGAAGGGAAGGGCCAGGCTGGCCCCAGCCCCGCCTCCATCCCCAGGGGCCTCGGCCGGGGTTGGAGGGGGACGCCAGCCCTTCCCACTTCCTGTCCAGCCGGTCGTCCCCTCCCCCAGCTTCCTCTCCCGCGGGGCCCCCCGGAGCCAGGGGCCGGCGTAGAGGAGGGGCCTGCGCTGCGAGGTAGTGGGGGTGCGGCCGCCAAGCTTCTGTAGGGCATCGAGCCCCGGACGCCACTGGCGGACGTGGGCGTCAAGGGCACCCTCATCGTAATACCCGCTCCCACTACCGCTCTCCAGTGCCTACTTTAAGCGAGACACAGAGAAAGTGTGGCTCACCCAAGTCACACAGCGTATTGGTGACAACTGTGACACCCAGGCCCTGCTACCCCAGGCACCCCCTATTTATCTCCCAATGCTCCATGGCTCCCCAGGATTCTGTGTCCTGCGCAGGTCCCTCGCCCTCTCTGAGCCACGGTTCCTTGAGTCATTGTGAGTCTCCAACCTCCCCACAGACATTTACTGAGCGTCTGTTGTGTGCAGGGCTCTGGGGACCCAGGCGGACGCGTTGCTACTGCTTGTGGAGCAGATTCTGACGGGGAAGGCTGACCGTCAAAAGCTGGCGAGTCAGTAGGATAATTTCAGGGAGTACCACATGCTGGGCCGAGGGAGGGGTTCCCGGTGGAGAGGACCAAGCGACGGCGGGGTGGGCCCAGCTCCCGGAGCAGGGTGGAAGCGAGGGGAGAGAAGGAGGGAGACGGAGGCGCGAGCTATGAAGGGGGAGGCGCGGCCGGCTGGAGCGACAAGCGCGGTTCTCATGGTAACGGGGACGGTTCTCCAAACACAGCTTCGGTGCCGGCGGAAAAGTCCGAGAAGAGCGAGCTCTGGGCCCCACGCGGCGTCAGGGAAGCTGAGCCGCAAGCACATCCGAACCGGGCGCACGCCTTGCAAAAGCCGAACCCATAAAAGAGCCCCCCCCCGCACCCATACGAAGGAGGAGCATGGGGGGGGGAGGAAAGTTTTGTTTTGTTTTTTTAATAAGGGGTGGGGTAGATCTGAAAAATCTGAAAGCAAAATGTTCAGACTGCAATCACAGAAGTGCAAAGGCCCTGAGGTGGGTGCATGGTTAAGGTGTTGGACGCAGAGCTAGGAGGGCAGTGTGGCTGAAGCAGGGGGAAGAGGAGCCGGATCACTCCCTAGGGGATCGGCTGAGATTTGTTCCAAGAGCAATAGGGAGCCACCGGAAGGTGTGTAGCCGTGAGGGGCAGGATCTGCAACAGGATTTTAAGAAGTACCATGGGGTTCCTGGGTAGATCGGGATGGCATGGAAGATGCAGGAGGTTGCCCTGGTAAGAGGCCCAGGTAGACAGGGGCTCTGGTCCATGGCAGGCCCGGGATTTGATTAAGGGGCCCGGGCGGGGATGCAAGCTGACTAGGCTAAGGGTCTAGGCTGGATCCCAGACCAGCGATCCCTCCACCAGCTCCCGATCGCCCCCGTGTGGCTTCGCGGACACTGCAGCCTTGAGCCGATTCTCTGCCTCTTTTGGGATAACCACCGGGTTGGGGGCGGTGCCTGGGGGGAGCCTGAAGCAGGCTGTGCTAGTAGGGCTGGGGGTTTGCCTAGAGGGGAGGCTGTCCCTCCCCACTCCCTTCCAGTCCTTCCATTCTTCATACCCACTCTTCACAGGCCCACCTCACGGCCTTTGCCCTAGCTGTTGCTGCTGCCTGGAGGGCAATTTGGCTCCTGGCCTGGCCTATTCTAGTTGCTTCTTCTCCCCCCATCCTCTCCCTCCTTCCCCTCTTTCTCCTCCCGTCCCTTCTTCTTGCCTTCCTTAGCCATCTCCCCTAGATTACGGATTCTGCCCTGGCCTTGGTTGGATTTGTCACTGTTAATGATAATGATGCATCAGATAATCTGCGGGCAGCCTCCGCCTTCCACTGGATCTGTCCTCCCTACGGACACAGCCCTGGCGGCCGGTGAATATGTCGCAGGAGTCGCTCGGAAGTCTGGTTTGGGTTTTCCTAATGATGGTTTTTCCTCTGCACTGGAGATGGAAGCAGCGCGCCCCCCCCCCCCATTAAAGTGGCAGGCGTTCGGAGGGGCCAGGATCCGGAGGGCGGCTCCCGCAGCCCCGCCCCAGCCGTGCGTGGGAGGCGGGCCACAGCTGGGAGCAGGGTCTGGGCCAGGAGATGTTTCCTCTCAGAAGCTGTAATTATGGGTAATTTTCTAACTGCAACACAAAAATTAAAACCCAAACAACACGGGAGGGGAGAAGCCACAGCAGCCGGTGAGCGCTAGAGCAGGGGTGGGAGTCCCCGCCGACACCTGGCGGGAGGAGCAAGGCCCCCAACCCAGGAGTGCTGGGAGGAGGGGGCAAAGGCTCGCTCAGATGTGCTAGGCTCCTTGAAGAGGCAGCAACCCCTTGGAGTTTCAGTTTCCTTTACTCCAAGACCGATCGCCTGGAGGCGGAAGTCCCCGGATGGAGGATGATCCTGGGTTTGAATTCTGACTGTGCAGGTACGCTTGTGAGTCTTTGAGCAGGAAGCAACTGAACCCCCAAGCTTGCAGAGCTGCCAGGAACTCTAGGCGAGAGAAGGGATCCAGGAGGACTGGGAAGAGGAGCCTCAACCAAACCCACAGCTACCCCCTACCCCACCCCACAGCACCTGTGTCCATTCTCCACAAGGCTTAGCCTGAGCCAGTACACCGCCCTACTTTCTGTGGGCTTCCGTGCCCACAAATTTAGCCTCTGCCCCTCCTCCCTGCACTTGAATTCCAGAGCCAAACCAGTCATTAGAAATTGGTGTGCTCAGCCCGGGATCAGATCATCCCTGGAAAATCCACCCAGCAACCTTATTGGAGAGGCAGCCTATCTTCTTCCCATGTTAGAGAATGGGGAAACTGAACCCCAAGAGGTACTGAGGGAGTCACATAGGTGACCCAGTGGCAGCACTTCACCCACTGGCGTGCCTGCCCTCTCTGGGGTCTGGGATACTCACTCTGGGAAATTGGAGGCATTTTGTGGAAAACTCAGGCCTGGGGGGAGGAGCAGGGAGGAGAGGAATGAAGGAGGGGAGAGCCTGTAGCAGCTATAGAAAAAGTTCTGCAGATAAAACTGAGGCTTAGCACAGGGAAGCAACTTGCCTGAAGACACACAGCAGAGAGTGGAGGACCAGGTCTCACTTTGGGGTGTGCTGGCAACACCCCTCCTTTAGCTTTCCTCTCCAGAGCTCCGGTCTCTTCCTGTGGCAGAAGAAAGAGTTTCCGTGACACCCTAAGGTCCCACTCTTTTTCTGGACCGTAAAGGGGAAGGGTCTTTTCTTCCCCGTTTGGGAGTCCCTCAGCTTAATAACAACCCCGGGGGAATGACGCTTGCTAAGCACCACAAATTGGGTACTTTTTGTCCGTGATCCTGTTGTATGCATCCAGCTCATCCCCACCCCAGGGCCTTTGCAAGGGTGTTCTCCCTGCCTGGGACACCTTTCCCCCAGCCGTTCCCCATGGCCTGCTTCTCTTCATCCTACAGACCTCAGCTCCAGCAATGTCCTCTCAGAGACGCCCTCCAACCTGGGTC